TTCACTTTTGTGTAAAAATTTAGAAATTTATTCCAAAAGCTAAATGTGAGATCTAGAGCTGGCATATATTATTCAAGTTGATTTCTGGCTCCTCAGAGATATTTTTTTGTTGTTGTTAAAGATTATTTATGCTTACAGAACTGGGGTATGGCCAGAGGTACAGGGGTGGTAAGAGGATTCTCCAGAGACAGAGTGGGGAGCAGAACAGGCAGACTGACAAAGCAGACTGCTGAAGGTAGCAGTGGGCGGGTCAGAAGAGGTCTGCCACGCCATGTGGATCAGCTCCCTGGATTGAACTCTTGCTGCAGTGGCTTCGGAGAGCTTTATAATGCGGTGCTTTAACTTGTTGAGCCACCAGGGAGAGCCCCTCCTCAGAGATATTTTACAAGATAATTATGTATATACTGTACTTAAAAGTTACAATTTCAAGAGTTAATTTTTGCTTCTAGGCAACAAGGACTGGATTTATCTTTCTAATTTTAATAACCAAAACACGGGGTAAAATATGTAAAACAATAATTTTCAGCAGTGGACATCAGATGGCAAAGGACAATAATACGAGAGACTGGAAACAGGAAAGTAAACCTTATTAACTGCTGCAGTTAATGAGCATTTCCAGGATGGAGAACAAACTGGGGAAAGTAGGTGGAGATGGGCAGAAACCATAAATAAAAGAGACAGAGCTAAGAATCTGAGGTGCCCAGCTAGAGTTCAAAGGGCAGAGTGCTAGAGAGAAGCTACACAAAGGGAGAATTCTGGGGATAAACAGAAGGAGTAATGACCAGTGTGTGTAGGTGAGGAAACTATCTGAGGGTGCAGAATCACCAAAAAGAATTTGAGGAAAGAGTACCCAAAGCTTATGTAGCCTGTTCTTACTAGCAAGACTGGAAAACTTCATAAATCACAGAACATTGACTAGAGTACCCTGAATGGTCTTGTCTCATTAATAATAATAAACACAGCGCCAGTCCTGTCTAAAAAGACATACAAAAAGTCAAACTATTTCCAAGTTATTATATTCTAGAACAAAGTTCAAGAATATTTTTAGAAATATAAAAATGTCTGGTATTTAAAAAATAAAAGGTAAAATTCACAGTATCCGGTAACCCAAGGACTACTACCAACAGGCATAAAAAAAAAAAAATACAACCCAAAATGAAGAGAAAAATTAGTTAAAACCATCCCAGAACTGACAGAGATGTTAGAATAAGCAGACAAGAGAGTGATAGACTATTATAACTCTATTCCACATGTTTAAAAAACTAGAGGAAAGACCAAAATTATTAAGTAGAGAGATGGAAGGTATAAAAAACTCAAATCTAACTCCTATAGATGAAAACTACAGTATCTGAAGTAAAAAAATACACTGGATGGGATGGATTAAGGTTAGGTATTGTTTTTTTTTAAAAAAAAGCAGTGAATTTGAGGAGACATAGCAATATTAACTATCTAAAATGAAACACTAAGAATATGACTTGATAGAAAAAAAGGATCACTGAACTGTGGGACAACTTCAAGTGTTCTAATCTATGTGTAACAGGAATCCCAGAAGGACAGGGGAAAGAACAGAAAAAAAATGTAAGAAAATAATGGCTGAAAAACTTCCAAAGTTATGACGCTATAAACCTACATCTAAGCAACTCAATGAACATTAAATTAAGCAAAGAAACATGAAGTAACTATTCTAAAGCACATCATAATCAAATTGTCCAAAATCAGTGATAACAATAACAAAAAACTTAAAAGCTGCCAGAGGAAAAAAGACAGAGTAATAATGATAAGGATGATAGCAGATTTCTCAAAGGAAACAAAGCAAGTAAGATGAGGGTGTAGCAACATTATTAAAGTATTGAAGAAGAAAATAATCTAAAATTTTACATTTAGGAAAAACAACTTTGAAAAACAATATTTTTTTATCATTTTTATCACCAACTGCCAAGTTGATCCTAAAATTCAAACTGAAATTCAAAGACCTGTAACAGCCAAAACAAGTTTAGAAAATAAAAACAAAAATTGGAGGACCAATGTTCCCTGATTTTAAAGGCTAAAAAGCTCTAATATGTTAATCAAAGTCATGTAGTGAATGAGAGACAAACCAATCAATGGAACAGAAAAGAGCCTAGAACTAGATTTGAATGTATTTGAGCAACTGATTTTAATAAAGGTACTTAGGCAATTTAGTGAAGGAGTCTTTTCAACAAATTACCCTGTAGCAACTGGATAGCCATATACAAAAAAAACCACTTTTTTTTTTAATCCATACTCATACCATCTATAAAAACTAACTCAAAATAAATCACAGCCCTAAGTGACCACAACATTTAAAACTATAAAATTTTCAGAAGGTAGAAGAAAGCCTTTCTGAACTTAGGTTTAATGAACATTTCTAGATGTGACACTAAAATCACTATCTATAAATCACAAATGGATAAACTGGACCTCCCTTATCAAAATCAAAACTTCTATTCGTTGAAAGAGAATGAAAAACCAAATCACAATGTAGGAGAAAATGGTGGTAAATTCTACCTAATAAAGGACATGTGTCCATAAAAAGAAAGAATTCTTAAACTAAATTTTAAACAACCCAATAAAGAAATGGGCAAAAGATCTGAAGGCCTACTACACCAAGGAAGACATATAGCTAATAAATTAACATCTGAAAAGATGCTCATGTCACAGTCAATGAAATGTAAATTAAAACTACAAGATACCACTATACACCTTGTAAGTGGGTAAAATGGAACAACCATTTTTGAAAAATAGCTGGCAGTTTCTAAATATTGATACTTAGCATATGAGCTAGTCATTCTACTTCTAGGTAGAGTTTTATTTACCTAGAATGTACCAGCTTTATGAATAATATTCAAAAATTGGAAACAAAATTATGTCCATTAAAGACTGATGGATAAATAAGCTGTGGTATAGCTATATGCTAAATGCTATTTGGTAATAAAAGGAACTACTGACACATGCTACAGCATGGGTAAATTAAAAATAATTATATCAAATGAAAAAACTAAATAAAACAAACAAAAAAAGAAAAAAAAGATACCATTTATGAAACTACTACTAGTAGTGTGCTGGCAGGAATACGCAGAAAGGAGACGTTATAATGGGATACAAGGTGATGGATAAGTTTGTTATCAGGACGTTGACGATGGTCTTTATGTTTGTATACATACATCAAAAAACATATCAGGCCCTCCCTGGTGGCGCAGCGGGTTAAAGCACTGCACTGAGAAGCTAAAGCCACTTCCGCATGAGTTCAAATCCCGCCTGCCCCGGAG